AATCCCGAAAATTTGTGCAGCGTTTAGATTGCCTCCTACGTTTTCGATCGTTTATTGTGTTAATAAACCGAGTATATGCAATATACAATAATATACGTACAATGGGATACCTATAACGTATGTAATGTTGTGTGCATTGAACGCACTGTATAATCGGCTGCAGCTGCAGTATTATAATAATAATAATAAAAATAATAATCGAGTGGCTCTCACATATATTATATTGTATGAGTATCATATGTAATATTGTCGTACACTTTCGCGGAAACGGCGTGGTGGCGGATGCGTGGACCCAATGATGACACTTGTGCATTTTAATGTTATGCGTGCGCCCGTACGTAAATAGAAAATGATAATTTCGTTTATTTTTCATTGGAAATGCTGTGGTTTTGTCGATATACGACCATAAACTTAAGAATTATGTTATGGTGTCTACTGTTAATTCAATTTTACTGTAACGGAGTGGCAAAAAGGTCACATGGCTGAAAATTGTTCTGGTGGAGCAAATGTCGTATTTATGTATGTGATTGTACCTATTAATTTAATAAATTAATACTGTATAAATCATCGAATTTAATATTTTATTGAATGGTAAACCGTTGTGAAGTGTAAGGCTGGGTGAATATGAGTATATTATGATATTTTATTTTAATAAACTTGTTCCGAACAAACTACCAGTATGTACATTGTACATATCACAATACTATATAATATATACATAATAATTCACGAAACGACAAACTGCACTTACACTCGGGTTACACTCAGAAAAAGGAAGATCGGAACCTCAAGGTCAATATTTTGACTTTAAAATATTTTGATATTATTTTTGGTCGTTTATATGCATTTAATATTATCTTAATATGCTTAATTTTCTTTTATACACACCTTCACAACGATATGTATTTCGAATACCTTGAACTATAAACTATTGTAGCTTTTTTTTTTCTCCACCAGGTAGTAGTTATGATAACAATAATAATATTTTTTCTTCTGCAGTTTGTGTGAAATATATTTATATATATTTTTATATTTATCAGGTGAAGCACGAACGACCTTAACTACGCAACACGCATTGCTATAATACATCCCCTCACGTTCATAAAAGAGTACGTTGCGTCCTGGCGTAATCTGAGAAGAACAAAGCTCTTCCGGCGGCGCGGCGGTGCCACGCGAAACTTTCGTAATAGCCTTTAGAATGTTATTATAAAGTTTTCACATCCCCGTTGGTGCCGGGCGATTGAACGAAAGGTGGGGGGGGGACGCTCTAAAAACAAAACATTAACGAATCTACGCCGCCGAGTTAATTTCGTCCCTTTATTACGAGCTATTTCCCGACTCTCTCGCTCGATGTCCTTGCAGCGTCGCGTTCAACGTTGTTCAAAGTATATGATGATATATATATATATATATATAGTTAATTGTTGTTATATTATTATTATTCCATTTCGTGCATGTGTGCACTATGTAACGAATGTGACGTGATATATCGGTTAGTTGTGTACTGCTTTCGCGTAATAATGTAAATAAAAACATCAAAATCATTTAAAACCGTATAAAAAATTCAGTTGGCTTTAAGCCTCATACGACATACATTCGTCAAAGTTATTGTAGTATAATTATAGTTATCTACTACAGCCTGCAGATGTGGTTTATAATTCAAATCACCGAAATTAACAGAAATAGAAAACATAATTTATTCTTGATCAGAACTTCATATTATAATTTTTAAACGTACGTTATTATCAATTTAAAGGTTATAAAATGTGTATTTTAGTACAATAAAATGTTCGTGGAATAAAAGCATGTAAATCATATTATATCCTATGAATATAATTTTTTTTTTAGAACTATCGTGATCTGGGCATAGATGAATAGGGTAGACCGATTGTGTGGGATTACACGTTAAAGAATTTTTATACGATTTTTTGTACAAGCAATAATAAAACCACATCGGTAGAATTTAATCTGTATAGTTAAAAATACTTTATAAATTATGGGATTAATTTTGTAGAAAAAAAAAATTGCCGTTATTAACTTTTTGTGTGTCCAAATCGGAAAAGGGAAAAAACAACTGCGAAATCGTCGTGCTCACGAATTTCCCGAGGGGGTAACTTTTTAGGGAGGGTTTTTGCATTTTTATTGCCTCACCGCGGTTTCCGATGTCCGATGTGCGCTTCTCTTTGATTTATATGCCAATTAAAAACAAGTCGGGGAGGTATGAAAAAAAATAATAAATAAATAAAGCAACAATGAAACGACACGCTAATTAGTCCTTTTTTTTTCGAATACCACTTGGCGAATCGAATTGCTCTGGCGATAGCCGTGCATTTTAAATTGTCATATATATATTGTAGGTACATATCATATCAATTATATTGTTATAATTATAACCTGCAATATATATAATACAAATTTATGTCATCTCTTACCGGGCAGGACGTGAATGTTTTTATAATATTGACAAAAGAAAAACTTATATTCTGTAGAATAATATTATCCCATTGTTGCATGTATAATATATAGATAATATAACTAATCAATATACTATAAAGTATATTGATGCAGTGTAATTAGTAGAGTGTCATTTCGTAGCTATGCTTACTATAATATAATGACGTGTCATATCATTGTTAAAAAATTATCTTATTTTCAAAATTTCTATTATACTAGTTTTGAAAACATAAATATGTTACTATAAGTTTCTTACTAATGTGCAAGCTCAATCAGCTTACCATACATATAGTCATATAGATACTGTAATTGTGAGTAATACCGCGATTGTGTTTTAACTACAAATTGTATGCTATATAATATATAATCTCGATCTAATAGCCATTTGTCAATCATAATATATTATTGTAATATTGCAGTACACATAAACTCTTCTAAAATAATAATAATAATATGATTTCTGTGTATTTTTTTCCGAACATCAGAATAGCTTTCGTTGTTTTCCGTGCTCGCTCGGAATGTATAATATACGTATACATATGTATATAATGTATAAATACGTAATATTGAGCATTGTATATACTTTCGTTAATTCGCTGCAATATAATGGGACGGGATTTAGAAGGGGCCTAATGTGAGCGTGTGTGAGTGTGTGTGTGTATTCGCATACCGTATATATATGTATATAAGTACATAGTGACAAATGCCAATTAAACCGAGCGTGGTGCTATTGTTTTTCGTTTTCCAAGGTTGAGACGGCTCGGCGGTAGCGGAAACTGTGCGTCGGCAACGCTAACGTGTTCCGAAAGCCATTATATTATGAATACGTGAATACGTGAATACGCCCGAATCGTCGTCAGAGCTTTGTTCCTGTGGTAGTTGTTGCCCGGAAGTTTTGCCGTTTGAAACGTCTTCGATAAAACATACAATATCATCCTTTGATGATGATTTAAATAACTATACATGTCCCTCGCGTTATATAGCGGTAGGATTTATTTTAACCGATCGGTTATTATAGTGTACACCTATGTTGTTGTTGTGATGATACTATTACGACGTGACAACTCTTTTATTAAATAATCCTCGTCAGTATATCATAATTTCAGTTGTTATTATGTGTACGAATCATTATTTGAAAGTTATGATTTTCTTTTATATATAAATATATATATATTGTATAATTAATTATATAAAGCTATAAAAACGGTTACGATAAACTTTTCTTTTTATTTCGTATTCATTATTGTCTACAAGTCTAATTGAAATTGAAAAATACAACTTATGACAAAATTTTCTGCATATTGTGATTCTTTGCGATTTTATGTTTTTTTTTTTTTTGTATATTTTTTTGAACAGAAAATAGTATACAACCCCGCAGTAAAAATTGTGCATTTTCGCTACTCAATATTTATTATTTTTTGTTGTTGTATATATACTACCCCCCACTTGCAGTATATTACAGTAATTCATTCGTTCTTTGAAATCGTAGAATTTCTAATTATATTACGTTGCATACAAGCTATAGAGGTATTGTTAATTATCGCAAACTAGAAGTTTCTCGCGACCCAAAATATATATAATCAATGTAATACGATATACACGTTGAATTAAATACATATTATATACAAGGTGTTTTTCCAACGAATGTCGCCATTAGCATAAATATTCGTAGAAGTGGACCAAAAATAACAATCACAGAATGGTTTTCTATCTCTTTTAAAGATTTTGGTTTTGGCTCACTTCATCGTAGAGTAAGGTATCGTATTAAAGAAATTTGTTTTAGAAACAATGAGTTTTTAGAAAATATATTTTCAGGTATCTATAGATATGGTATGGCGTAAAGCCTTTTAGAATAATTTACCAACTTATAAGTTTTTCAATCATTGACAACGTAATATGATTAACACCTATATAAAATACACTATATTAATAATAAATAAAATTGTATAGCCTACCAAATATTATGAAAATGTCCTGTATGCAAATAACTTTTTCATATCGTTTTTTATGAACTCATAAACGGTATTCTATTTCTCTGGATTTTTTGTCTAAATACATAAATATATATATATAATTACATTATTGGTGTTGCGCATAAAACATTATCGTTCGCGGCAAGTACATCAATGGCGCAAACGTTACTATATTAATATAATATTTATTATTGTATTTCTGTTGTTACGAGTACTCGACGGGATTAAAAGGGATTCCTTTGATTGTTCATTTGTTGCTGCAGTCATCGGAATCAATCCCTACGCCTCCGCCCCTTGACACTGCATATTATATATATATGTAATTCCCTATAGACTTGGTAGAGTTCCTAGGCACAAAGTCAATTCCCCAAACGGCGGAGGGTATATATTATATATTTTATGTATAGACGCGTATATACGATAAATATGGTTTAATATTATATAACATTAGTCATCTCCGGTTTCTCTTCCTTTTATAAAATCTCAGGAACTCGTACAATACAACTACTTACAAGAATATATACAATAATTTCTTCATTATTAATAACTCGATTTTCGTCGTTTATGTTTTAGTTGTTGCCCAGAGACATCGAAGCCACGGAATGTGAAAATAAATCGGACTGCTGGAAGGTGAGTTTTTTCCTACATATTTATTTATCAATGAAAAATTCGTTTTAAACATCACTTAAGTGTATAAAATTTAATTCAGAAGTAAGCCAGAATTATTACTTATGAATACAGTTTAAATTATTAATCACATAATAGAAATTAAAAGACAATATACTAATATATGGTATTTGATTAATGAAAATCACATTAAAACTATTTGAATTGAGCTTAGACAATGTTATAGCAAACATTCTACACGTATATTACACTATTATATTATATAACAAATAGTGTATAAAATTAATTATATGTACATGCTACAGATTCTGTAACAAAATGAAATCGTTATGTATTAATAAAGTGTCGTAGAATTTTTCATTATCAAGTGAATAAAAAAATAATTGAAATCCACTCTCGTCCCTGTCTTGTTAATGCATTTCTATAACGCGACCGTTGCAACTATAATATATTATATTGCCGTCATCGTTGTATCGGTGTTATATACCGGAGAAAACTGTACCTATATCTATTTTTATAGTACACATTACAGCGCGTAATATAGTTTCTTCCCCTTTTCTGCGACTTGAAGTGTACATAACGTCATAATACATAATGTGCGCACTTGGTGCGAACATTTTACACGTCGTTTAAGCGTTGTAATCGTCACCGCCGTCTCTGCAGTATAATAATAATAATATCAGATGTGTACGATTATTATATCCAATAAGTAATAACCATTCGCATTTTGTAAACGTGTATAATTTATACACATTACGTGTTAAACGTATACATATTATAGACATATATAGATAGCCGTATACCCCGTGACTAATTTCGGTGGTCTTGTGCAGCAGCGGACACATAACTGCCAGTTATGTACAGTCGAATCGTCGCTAACAATCCTCGGTGTATAGGAGGAAATCCTAATACGTGGCATTTGATACGTTTTTCTTTGCAAATCGATAGTACAATATAAGTATATACAATATATATATTATACTGCACACGAAACTCCCGCGGCGACATTGTATACGACGTTCATCGCGGATGTGTTTGTGTGTGCGTGCGCGTTGCGGCGGTGGAGTAGTCGAAACCCCCCTGGAAACGTGGTGAATGGCTGCAGCACCGCGCTGAGACATTCACACCTGGTTTTTCACCTCGGAAATTGGCCTTTTACGCACCAGCGCCTTTTTTTTACGATTATTATTATTATCCGCCCACTAAACGCGTTATGTGTTATGTATTGTGTATATATGTGTGTGTGAGCTCGGCAATTGGTTTTCGTCGTTTTCGAACACAAAAAGAGCAAACAAACCGTCTTATTTGTGGGGTTGGCGTATAATAGATTTTATGTGTGTGTATAGGTATATGCGGGTTATACGTACGGTTATAGCCGCATATTTGCCATAATCCGTCGTCGAAGAAAGAACGCGTTAATGCATAATAATATGCGAGCCCGTTTTGTCGCAACCAGGTGCTACGCAGTCTCGTCCGTCCACCGCGGCGTAACATATTATGTATACCTATATATTTAAATATAATAATAAGAATATATACATTAGTATATTATTGTTAAAGGCGTATATTATAACGTACGATTGTGTGCCCTTATGCCAGCCAAAGAATTCCGAAGGATTTGATCCGTATACGAGTTTTTTTTTCCTCAACACCTATATAACATTCCCATTGAAATAAACAAATACGTGTATGGTCTTGTTATGCCATACAGTCGTCGCACCCCGGTCGAAATAATATTATTAGTCACGGTCGCTACCGCGCACGATATATCCGCTCCTTTGTCACTTATTATATATATATATTAAATATAAGTATACACCTTATACCTACCCAGGTATCCACACCACTGCAAATTATAAACGTATTTGTCATGTGGATTTATTACCGCCCTTCGTTGTGTTTCGAAAGATTTCGCGCATCTGCAGCTCTGTTTGGCTTATGTGTGCGCGCATGTCAATCTCTTGACTGTTTGATTGCACGTCACCCGTCGGGCCGGCACGTACAACGACATAATGATATCGCGCTAAACTCGCGGACGTCCATCATTAAATATTTTTTATTGGGCTCAGCAGCTTTCCCCAGAAAACTATAATAATAATATTCCGTATCTTAGTATAGTATATTATACTCACTATAATACAAAGAAAAAAATATTTAATATGCCGGTAGATATAGGCGGCTTTCATTTGGGTGAATAACCCAAAATAAGAAATCGTTTGAATGAATATACGTTTTCCTTCCCATTTTTAGAAACTTAGGACTCTCAGTTAACTCTAACTGGTATAGTTAAAAATGTATTATATTGTCATATAATTATTTATTATATTATTATATTTATTATTTTAACTAAATTTTTTTATTAGTATATGTTATCTCATACCCATTTGTTTAATATTGTTAATTTTCCGGTTTTATATTCTTCCCGTGGCCTCAATGTATATTTGTAAATTGGTTTTGAAACTTTAAAATAGTTACCATCTATCAGCTGAGACGATACAATAATAATATTTAGTTGTAGTAGATATATAAAAAATATTGTTCAGGTATGTTACTTACCTATTATTCAATAATTTAAATATTTGCTTGAACGATCGGTTAATTCACCCAAATGGTATATGTTCTACTCAGATAAATTTTGGACCAAATGTAAACTTCTACACCAATAACTTTTTACATTTTTACCTAAAAATTAAAGATACTCTAATTTCCTATTTGGATATTTTTACCTAAACAAATAGGGTAATATTATTTAAATTCATGATTTTGGAGTTGATAGCTCAAACATTTAAAAATGATCATAACTTGAAAATAATAACTTTATAAAATACAAACACTTGAATAGAATGTGTTAATATGCTATATGATGATTCTTGAAAGCTAAGTTATATACTATATTATTACATGTTCATATAACTCATTAATATATTTTCCCACTCTATCACTGACAGGATTTGCTCGGCAACTCTGTCCACTTCTTGTTGATACCTATTTTTGCATTAAATTGTGCTACCTTACAGAAGTACGAGCGGTATCCTTTTTTATCATCTTTTATAGAAGTTAACACTATCTTTTGTAGGAGTTAACACTATCTTTTATAGGAGTGAATACTATATCTTTATAGGAGATTACATTACATTTGTAGGAGCTTACCATTCCCCCAAATTTTTGGTAATTCGGTTAAAATAATGATCCGTATATATAGTATACGACGGGTGCGAAACGACCAAAGCGCATGTCGAAACGAATTTTTACGCGTTACACGATTCTCCGAAGCTTTTTCAACGTTTGTGGCTTGTCTCATTTTATATTTCACGTGGATTTCGTTGACTTGATTTGACGTGGCGGTGGTTTGTATTTGGAGTAATAAAGCTGTGTTATAATAGTCATCGAATTTCCTGCTGAAAACTCCAACTTTATCCATCTATTATTCCTGGACTATAAATCGGGTGACTTCTATTCGTTTTTCAAGCCTATCGCTGTGTTTAATGATTTTTTTTTAACAACGACATGCGCACTTAATTTACCATGTTGTACACGAACACGGCAAATACGCATTTATACAGACATCATAACATTTGACGTATTCACGTATAAATATCTATTGGTATACGAGGCAAATGCTGTGAAGTGTTGGTATAAATATACCGAAACCATAGTCGTTGAACCTCCCTCATATGAATAAAAGGTCGAAACGCGCGAGAGCAAATTCATGACCATGTCAAAGACTAAGGATAATCGACCTAATCATTAAAACAGTTGGTCGAACGCAGCATTATGTAACATACCTACATGGTGTATGCGTACAGTGTATATGATATCATATACATTATATCTATGTTTATGACGAATATTATATACAATGTATTAAATATTAATATATTATATTATAATACATATACACAGCATCCCACCCATGTTAAATATGTATCATTTATATTGTAGAGTGTAGACTAATACACTACTATACCTAGTTAGTATGTTAGTATAAATAGATATGCACGGGCATTTTAATAGGTCTACTCAATTATTAAAAAAAATAAATATTTTTCGTCAATACTCTGCGTTATAGGTCAGTGCATAATAATATACTTCATATAATATACGTATTATATAGGAAAAGACGCAGAAAACGTCTTTCATATGGATATACACGTACAAATTGAATCAGTTAATATCCATGCAATATAATAACAGTGATCGGTGTTTTATGTTTTTTTTCCATAAGAAAACGTTTTTACCTGGCGCGGTAAAAGGTATTTCGAGTCCCATAATCGGAGATTATATTTGTCGGTTGGATTTTTTCCCGACATGGAGAACACAAGTTTGCTGAAACAGACGCAAATGGATTTGAGACGTATACGCGTATAATATGATAATATATTATATTGTAAATTATTGTAATAGTGGAGGAAATAAAACATGTGTCGATTACGTACGCGTTTGTATATATACATAGACACACGCATGATGGTAATGCACAGCGTGTTTCGTTTCATTTGTCAGTGCAGGGTTCCGTTTCCAACCCTCGCGGGCAATCAAAACAGCCTCTGTTTATCGTCTCGGTTCTGCAGCAGCCCCATCATCCGAGGGTCACACACAACATTATTATTTTTATTTCATCCCGTATGCGGACGGTCACGGTTACGACTCTGGTAGCTAATAAACTGTATAAGATATAATATAATTTGGTCGGTCTCTTTTTCTCCTCGTCTGTTCTCGGTATACGCTTTGATAACGAGCATTCGAGCGTGGTGTGTGATGTACTGATGTGAGTGTATAGCGTGAGCGCTTCAACCAGCGCTTGTTTATCTCAAAATTTAGCATCTAGTATACGATTAGACGGTATATCGAGACTAGAAAAAAAAATCCGTACGAGTCATTTTCATTTATATATTTATGCACATGCATACTGATACCAATTCGGTTATACCGAGTTTCTATTTCACTGGCCAATTTTTCCCTCACTGCAGTATATAATTGAATTCATCACGACCTTACTGATA